CGTGTTTGCGCTGCCCGGGGCGTGGCTTCGCGGCGGTCATCTTGGGGGGCGCTTGAGGGAGATTTACGTGCCGTCGCGGGCCCAAGCACGAATGCCTCACATTACCCTTGTTTGGTTTCCTCTCTTAGTGCTTTTGGTTGCTTGTTTTTTTTTCGACATGTATAATCATAAGTGAACGACTTCACAAGTTTCTTTGGTGTAATTTGCTCTCACATTCGCCTCATTAATCTACTTTTTTCGCTCCAATTTCTCTCTCTCTTCCTCTCTCTAACTCTTCCAATTTAATTTCCCATAATCGAAATTAACTATTATTAGTTGTGGTTCTTCTGCAAAAGGTTTTGAATATTTTTCGAATGTTTTACAAAAATTTCAAGTTTCATAAACAAGGTCTACTTTTGTGCCATGTTTGAGCAAAAGTAGACATAAGTAAATGAGATCACAAATAAAAAAAACTCTTTCACCAATATTTCTATTCCTTTTTATATTAATTTCTTTAAATAACCGATATGAAGAAGTTATTTTAAAACACCATTGAACAAATTTAAATTGACTTAAAATAAAACATTATTTTTAAGCTGAAGTAATATATTAAAAAACGTAAACTCTCCACCCACAATTCCCTTCTCCTCACGAATGCATGCAAACCGAAAACGAGACTACATTTTTTTGTGGCCCTGCACTTACTGCTCCTAAACCTCTATAAAGGAATATCTACGGAGCACCTTAATTCGTGGAGTGCGAACCGTAAAAAAATGCGCGCATAACAGTGAATGGATACACTAAATACTTTCCACCCCCGCGTCACGTCGCAGGTGAGAACGAAGGTACGTAACCGGACGTTAATTTCTTTTACAACATCCGCTACTCTGCTAAGCAAAAAACCGCACAAAAAGAAGAAGTTAAACAAAACTGCGGAGGGAGAAATAAGAGGCGAGGAAGGAAAACTTAGAAGGACCGTTTCGTTGCGCTAATGGAGCTCCAAGCGGGGCCATGCATTCAACATGAAGAGTCAAAAGTCTGAGTCCAAGGGCAGAACCTCGTTCTGAAATGTAAGGCCGCTGGCAGAGTGGAAATGAATGTAATCACTGGGGGGCGGATTGTAATGAAATGTAATTTTTTTCTTTTCACTTCAGAACAATGCCATTCAGTACAGATATTATGTAATTATATTTTGAGAAAAATAAATGACACATTTTTATGTAATTTATTTGCATTTTTCGTCTATTTCGACTAATAAGTCACTTCTAATTTTCGGTGATTTTCATCGATTTTAATATCATTTTAATGGCACTTACTTAGTTCGTTCTTATATTTCGGTCGATTTCGTGATAAATAAAGGCAATGATTTTCTTTTAAAAAACAATCCAAAGCAAAAATTTGCAAGCTGAGTCACTTGAACAAAAGGAAGAAGTCTCAATTATATCAGAAACATATCCAACAGTTGGAGTTGTTCATATGAAGTGGTTTTCATAGAAAAAATGTCATTTTTCTTTGTTTTTTGGGCATTTGTAAAGCATTTTATCGATAATTTTTGGCAATGTTTTAGGCCATCAAAATCGGGCCCCTGGATATCACATTATCTTTAAATTATTGTTATAGATACATCATCCAAAGAAAAAACATGTAATTCTTATTCCTAATTTCGGTAAATTTATAGAAATATTTCCGCGCAGTGTGTTACGCGCCACAAAGTTTTTAATGTAATCTGTATCTGTGAATTTTCATTTGTACAATGTTAGAGAATAAATTAGAAGATTGAGAAGAGAGGAATGCATTTGAAGCTTTGTGGGAGAGCACGGGTGTATGAAGTGAGTGTATGGTCAAAATATAGATTTCACTTCCGCGCTTACACTTCTTGTTGAGGAGACTGGAGGGAAAGAATGTTATACAGAGATGCTAGATTGGAAAACAAAGCACAAAAGCAAACCTCTCCAACCATTACGTGTTTGTTCCATACAACACCAGATTCAGCGACAATTCCATTGTTTCTTGTCTCTCTGTCTTCACTGTCGCAACCGCCACCTAGGGAGCTGCTTTCACCGCAGAGCACACAACGTGAGCGCCCGAATTCACTTTCCGAATCGCCTACGACGCGGTCGCGTGCGGTATTTGGCATGGAGCTCCCGCAGCGCACGCGGCGCCCCTGGCGGCGCAACGGGGCGACACGACCTGGCGCGGGTAGGCGGACGGCGCAGAGCGGCCAGCGAATCCGCGCATGCATATTTCAACGCGAAGCGGCTGCAACCGTGGGCGGGAGCGGGTAATGGGAGAGCGGCGGACGGCGACGGCGCAGAGGCCCGGAGATCGAACGCCATGGAGAGTATGTGGAACATGCACGGGGGAGTCGAACAAGTGGTTAATAGGGGATGATAAAGACATCAGAGGTTGAAGATGAAGAGGTAAGTTTTGGTAATAGATTTCCACTTTGGAAAGCTGATAGTGGTGTCAGAACGTGTGAGGCGGGTTATTCTCGGGAGACGTTTGGGGCGGGATGCGTTGGCGGGAGACGGTTTGGCGAGGGAGAGGTTGCGGGGAGACGGTAGTTGGCGGGCGAGACGGTGGCGGGGAACGGGTTGCGGAGCGGGTTGCGGGGAGACGGCGTTGCGGGAGACGGGTTGGTCGGGAAACGGTGGGGAGACGTTGGCGGGGAGCGGGTTGCGGGGAGACAGTCGTTGCGGGGAGACGGTTGGCGGGAGACGGGTTTGGCGGGAGACGTGGGCGGGGAGACGGGTTGCGGGAACGGGTTGCGTGGAGACGGGTTGGCGGAGAACGGTTTGGGAGGTCGGGGAGACGGGTTGGCGGGACACGGTTTGCGGGAACGTTTGGACGGGACGGTTGGCGGGAGACGGTTTGGCGGTGGACGATCGGGACGGGGACGGAGCGGGGAAGGGTTGGCGGGGAGACGAGGTTGGCGGGAGACGGATTGGCGGGGAGCAGATGCGGCGGGGATGTATTGACGGGGAGACGATTTGGACGCGGGAGACAGGGTTTGGGGGAGACGATTGGCGGAAAGACGGATTGGCGGGGGATATGACTAGAGAGGACGTGCGTGGTGCAGTTTTAGAGGCAGTAGCGGCGATGCGCAAGCACGGACGCCTGCCCTTTCGGGGCGGGTGACGTGCAAGGAGGAGGGCGGACGAGAAGTCAGCCGCCGACAGCCCGCTGCTGAATCTTTGAATCGCAGCGCTGTGCGCGGGAGTGCGGATCCGTCGGCGTCTCTCCACACAGTGCGCTTAGACCGCGCACCCTGCGTCCTCACGGTCAGTTCATTTTACGTGGTTCAGCGCTGGTCACTAGACCATCTCGTATTTTGACCTTAAATTTCCTTAAGATTTGGCTGTTCAAAAACATCTTTATTTTTTTTATTGCTTATAGTTTACAAATGGCGGCAATATTTGTTCCACGCCGTGCGCCACTTCGCGCGTTTGTGGACATTTACTCCTTTCTAAATTACGCAGCTCTGCGTTCTAGCATTCTAGAAAAAAAGCAATGAATTCAGTATACTTTCGCCTACAAATCGAAATATGTTTTTATTTGGGAGATATTTACAACCAAATCAATTGAAAGCAAATGAACAAACTTCGATTAGTAGAGAGTAATTTCTCCACAATGAAATAGTATCACAGCTTTATCTTTGTCTTTAATTTTACACGTAACAGTACGGTTACGTTCCATAAATTATCATTGGTAAATAATGTACCACTTGATAATTACATCCTCTTCAGTAAAAATTTCAACTTTTAGATATAACACACGGTATATTTTATTGTAAACTTATGCAAAAAAGGCTTTCTTTATTTCTACACATTGAGGATATGTTGTGCTGAGTATTAATCATATTATTTTGAAGGTATTTTAAACTAAAATATATACTGATTTAAAATCATTATAATTACCATTAATAATTTGGACCACTTAAAATGCATTGACCCCTTACCAATATTAGGGTACGAATGAAGAAGTCATATTAAGTAAGTAATATATTAAAGATATAAATTCATCATAATAGATCAGATATCAATTACATTCGTTACCCAGAGCTATTTCTTAAGGTAACGCGCAATTATTTCACTTTTGAAGAGTGTCAATTTATAGGTCTTAAATAATGATCTTTAATTACTCGAAGCATAGAAAATATTCAAGAGTTTCTTCACAGTTTTCTTTGCACTCGAAATCATGATTCACGACTGTAGGTGAAAGGTTACGAGAGAATGAACAGAGGGACAGAGAGATTGATCGAGATCGAACTCTGGAGTTAGAGAAAGCTATGTAAATCACATAACCGCTTGCGAAGTAGTTTTTTATGATCCATGCACATTATTTAACGTACAATCACAGAGCAATTACTCTCTCATTTATTTCTAGGTATATATAATGTAAATTGACTTCGGCAGTGTTATGAAAACGCAAACTTTCATTCCCCTACTGAATATAAAATTACGCCACCAAAAGAATAACAGGCAGATAAAATTCCAATAAACGAGATTAAAATAACAGGGAGTGATCAGGCAGATAAATGAACATTTTAGAACCAGAAGAGGAAATTAAAGCGATAGTACAGTAAGTACGAGCATATAATGAAGATAACATGTTATCAACCAGTGCAGGTGCCTCTATAATACTTGTTATCTTCAGCGTTTAAGTTAGGAGTCTTGTACAGGCATTCATTTTTCCTCTAATGAGATTTTCTATCTAATAATTCATTTGATTACCTCCTTCCCTTCTCTCCATTGGTAGGATTCTGCTTCACAATCCTTTATCCCTTTCCTACACACGAAAGTTTTAATAGAGAAATGTTAAGATCACCGAATCTAGAGAGATGTATACGAATTCATTTAAATGAACGTTTATTAAGAAATATCATACATAATACCTGCTAATTGGTTAATACCTTTGTCTCGTTAATTGATAGTTATCAACAACCTTTTTGACTCTTGCATGTTTAACGACATTGTAAGTAACCGCGGGCGCTCTGAGATCACAAACGGTTAAATTCCTACCCGCAATGTAAATCTTAGCCCTTGCTAAAAGCTGCAACGAAAAAGCTAAAATTAAAAAAAAAAAACAGATAAATACATCTAATACAAGTTCTTGGTTACTAGTACTCAATAGAAGTCTTTAATTCTCTTGTATAAGTAACGGATCCCTTCTGGTGGTAACTTCCATTCTCCTTCCCTTCTCTCTCCCCATCTCTACCAGTTTTCTGCACGTCCACAATAAACCCCTCTCCACCACCTTCCGATCAACTATCAGCACCCTCCTTCCCGCGCCGTCAAATACTCGGATATTGGGAATCAGCGCGATACGGAGGAGGACGCCTCGGCCATAGCCTCCCCCGCAAAGCAAGTTGCCGGCCCGTATCGCGCCTCTCCGGGCGCCGAGGGCCATTCGCCGCTAACTGCCGCCCTTCCCCTTCCTCCCCATCGCCCAACCGACCACTCGGTGCACGCGCGCGTTTACGACGCCCGCGACTTCCGGGGCGGCTCGGCGGCGCCCTCGCGCTGCGCGACGGCAGACGGCACATCGCGCGTCCCGTCACATGTCCAACATATCCACATGACCACCGTAAGACCACATGACATTTGTCCACATGACCACATGACATTTGTCCACATGACCAACGCAAAACGACGTGACATTTGTCCACATGACCAACGCAAGAAAGTCCGTGGCGTAAGAGATAGAAAATGCGCCTTCCACTGTAGGTTCGGTCTCCTGGCAAACCTTGTGGAATGTGTAAAAGTCAAACCGAGCCCTCGGCAGTTTTCCTTCCGCTTCTTCCATTTCCCATACTTTTCACTTCACCCGACGAGCTAGAATATACCACATAGAGTGGCTGTGCCAATAGTTTCAGCGCTCTTGGTGGAGGTTCACCGAACCATGTTTTGGCCGGTGTGGCCGCCATGTTTTTGAAGTCAGAAAGTACGAGTGGCGGCGACTGTTATACTAAATCGACCTTGTGGTGTTGTCTGCATCACAACTTACTTCTTTATTGCTTTTCGTTTAACGGTATTTAAATAACGGTATTGCAATAACTTTCACTTTCTGGCTTTACGCTAACTACAATAACATTTCAAGAGCTTGCATTCTAATGACAATAATTAATGCAGGAAGCAACATGTATTTACAGTTTCTCAATTAGTTCTCCTAACACATTGTCATTCCGTTTTTAAATGATTGGTTTTTGGTGAGAACTCACAAGAAGATAATTTATATTACGCGCGGCCCGTGCCCATCTGATCGTAACAATCGCCAAACACGGTGCTAGAATACTTTGTTTCGCAGAGGGCGCTGATTTGACTACAAAAAACGTGGCTTCAATTTGCTTCAAAGATGGAGGCGATTGAGCTACTCTATGAAGTATATTCTAGCTCATTGATTTCTTCACAGTTCTACCGACATTCATCTCATCTTTGGACTAGAGAGTGCACAGCGTAACGCACTCTGTCGTACACAATATGAACCAGCTTACGAGCCTCCGGGCAAGCGCGATCTACGTGACGAAAGCTACGTCGGAAAACGACACTTCACGATATTCGATCACTTTATTACGATAATTTGAATTTGTTCGCAATTGTGGCGGCAGTGTGGTGCTGTATTTCTGTATTGCAATATCATGTTGTTAGCATGTATATATAGCGAATATATGCAAATCAAGAAATTGAAGTATTATGACAATTTGAAGTCATTTAGTCAATTAAAGAATTTGTAAATGCAATAAACAAATACATAATCAACGAACGTAATGATTGTTTCTCGTTAGCGAACAGAAGAAATCTCCAAATATAATAAATAATACATCTTTGCCGATGTCCATTTACCACGCTTATCTTCAATTACCCTGATTATTCATACACGCCCGTCGCCCTCCGTTACGAATGGAACCCATTCAGCATCAACTTAGTTTAGTTAGGTCCGGCGCCGTACGTTCGCGGCGGAAACAAAGCTCCAGAACACACACACGCGTTCGCCAATTCTCGGCGAGAACACAAGGAGACGCATTTGCGTTCGATTGCGCAGCTGCGCCAATTCCCGAGCGGCGAAACACAAGCACGGCGGAGAGCGTCCGGCCGCCGAGCTGTCGGAGGGCGCGCCGCGCCTCCGAAGGGACGCGAAAGCCGCGGCCCGCGCGCACGTGCGCGGCGCGTGGCGGCTCCCACGGGCGGCTGCTCGCAAAGCTCGACTCTCGGGCAGGCAGGGCGAACGGGAGGTTTTACGCTTGCCGCCGACCCACGCGTCCCTTTATTGAATTAGGTAATGTGGACGTTTCTGGAGCGCGGCAGTCCAAATTCCGCAGCGTTCGGCTCGCGTTTCATGAGGAAATAGGTAAATGAATAGTCGGGTCATAAAATGAATTTTCACAAATTAAACTGCGATGGGATTCAAGGTGTTTATTCTTTGTTACACATCCACCAATGGCCTTGTACTTTCGAAAGTCTATTATTAAATTTATCTTTAATTAATTAATAATAAATTCATTTTATCTTTGCAACATGGTTATTTGATTTCAGCTTGTCTTAGTTCAATGTATAAGTTCTATTAGCAGCCATGTCCCTAATCTTAGGTGTATTCTCAGCCTTTATAAATCACATCAGTAGAGGAAGGCCCTTGTGTAGAATGCGAACTGTTAATATAACCTTAGATAAATGCATCGCGGGTTGACGTACGTTTTTTGGTATTACTGGATTTAGGCGGAAAGTCATGGGATATGGTGAAATCGAGTTCTCAAAGAATTGCGAACAATTTGTGGCAAAGAACTTTACCATACTATTGGATTAACACAATAGACGGGGCTAGAAACGTAATGGCTGGGGTATATGCCTTCCAGCGCAGTGGTTCGAGTTCGAAACCACGCCAAGTCATTTGGAAATTCTGATGGACGCAGCAAGTCCTCATTTTTATTTATTTTTTCCTGTATTAGTTTTCCATTACCTCTGGCCTCGGCTAGCTATAAAAACCTGCCACATACTCTTGCCAGCTGCCATCTATCGCCGCCGAAAGTATATTTTTTGAAGTTTTCTTAATTTTTCTGTTTCCTAATAATAGAACGGAAATAATATTTTATGAATATTAAAAAATAGCAACACCTTGACCTAAATATTAATTTTCGTTGAAAAATTTGCAGCAGCTTTTAATGCCCCTGAACGCTATTTTAAATCCCACAGACGTTTTTCACAAAAGTTTTTTTAGTTTTCGAAAAACTTCATTTGAAGTACTTCAACCCACGAAGACAATAGTGTTTACAAATTGCTGGAAATGTACATCATAACGGCGTGAGAGCACTTTCAAAAAAATTACATTTGTGTAATTTAAAATCAACAAAAGAATAAAGCACAATGAACTTGATGTAATATTAACCAGTTCAATAAACACTATCTGTTGGAAACGTTTGAAGAAAACATGTGGAGCCGTATATGAGAAATTTGCTTTTAAGTGTTTCTGAAAATGCGAAATTTTGATATAGTGTTTAGAAAACACTATTGAGTTTTTGGGAAACTTAATCTGACATTATTTAAAGCACATGCACTCATAAATAAAATGATGGGAATAAATTGCCTCTACGATAAATATTATCGACGTGAGAAACAAGTCCAAAAAACTACTTTTCTGTATTTTCCAAAGTAGAATCCAAAGAATAGAGCACAATGTCGTTTAGGTAATCTTAAAGAGTACATTTAGCACGATCAGTACCAAAAGTTTAAGGGAAAAAAATTAGAGCAGTTTTTGAAAAAATCTTGTTTTTGAAATTTTTTAAAATTGCAAATATTGCACGTAATTTTGCGCTAACACTATTACAATTTTCAAAAAAATGTACAAGACCTTAATGCAAGAAATAATTAGGGTCAACAAATTATTTGAAGGATAAATCTGTATCTTCAGTTTTGTAGTCGAACGTTTTGAAAGGAACAACTTTTTCGATATCAGGGAACCTCAAAATATGTATTTTGACTTTCCCTATACTACGTGTATTACTCCGTAATTACGTACGTATACGGAAAAGTAAAAATCAAGGAATCGAGAAATTATGTTTGGAGATAAGTGATAATGAACATAAAGTTCCTAAAAAATAACATATTGATTATCTTTCTCAATACGTTTTTTCAATTATCTTACCGTTTAACACATAGCTTTGTACAATACGTTTTTATTTATTGGTTATGCTTGTGAGGGTGTAGGTATAAGTGAGTGTTACATAGGGTTATGTAAGGTGAATTATTGGTTGTAAATGTGAAGGCACGTGAAACAAAACTCTCTCCCTCTCCTATACACACGACACAATACATTCAAATTTGTTTTATGTACACATAGGTAATGACTACCAAGAATAATGCTAGTAGTTTGGGCATTTGATCGTGAGATTACATACCGGCGGACAGCGAGCGCTTGCATGCACTTACAGGGTTGATTCAGGACCTGAAACAATACAATATGTATTATAATCCAGCCAAATTTACTCCAGTAGTAATTGTTACCTACCTCTATAGGAGAAACAGACCCACAACAGAACAAGCAAAAACATAGAACGCGCGCACGCGAACTCATATATATATTTCACCTTTTAATAAAGAGAAGCAAACAATCACAAAGCCATGTGTTAATGCTAAGTATGAGAATCACCTATTGAGAAGTGTGGATTAAGTTGAAACTAGGAATACCTTACATGTACTAGAAATTGTCCTCAACATTAATGCAGATGCAATATATAAGTCATTAATATATAAAGAAGAAAATAGATGTTTTAGTTCAGAAATTACAAATACAGTAATAGTAATGTTATACTATAGCTTCTTCAGCAATTCTAAATAAATAATTCACTTTTGATTTCAATACAATCAATATATTTCTCGTAGTCCTTTCGCATCATAAGATAGGAAACACGCCCCTAAGAATTCTAAAAACCGGTGAGTGTCTTTCAAAGAAAACTACAGGTTTGGGATAGTCAAGTTAAATTAATATTTTAATATATCTGTTCTGAAAACCACTGAGATCTGCACAATCACTAGTATCACTGGTGGTCGCGAACTACACACACTGTACAACCAGGTAACAATAGGTTTATGCATTTTATTATAAAACTATAATTGGGTAGCCCGTTATCCCCTGAAATGGTTACCAAACACTTTTTTTGCAAAACAAGAAAAATGTAAAAATTGATTCAGTTAAAAGTTAAGTAAGTCCTCACGTAGAAACACAATTACTGTAAAAATGAACTCATATGCACACGTCGCAATATAGCAGCATTTTTAACTTCTAGTAATTAGCAGAATACGAAGAGTCGCATGAGAAAAACTGAATTTCGTACAATACGAGCCGACAAACTATTATGCGTATTCAGCATTGCGATTGTGAAAAAAAAGAAAAGAAAAAAAGAAAAAAAAAACACGATATATTTCCTGACGTACACAAGATCACCCAACGCTCCGTTTACCACGCTTTACATTATCCCTTGACGCAACTCCTGGAGGCTAATTAAGCAGTATCTTCTCCCCGTTATTCAGTTGAATTTCCTAACGTGTCAGTTGAAAGCGGCGCCCTCGGCATCGAGACGGCAGCGCCGGCGCAGGCTGCGGGGTGCCGCAGGGGCTGAGCGCGGGTGCCGCGTCGGGCGCGGTGGAGGGAGTGTGAGGGTGTGGGGAGGGGAGGGGAGGGGAGGGGAGGGGAGGGGCGCGGCGCGACGGTGACGTCATGCGCGTGGCGCGTGCGGGAGCGCCGGACAGCGCCCTCGCGCATAATGAGCTGCGCCCCCCTCCCGCCGCCGCACGTTCCCCACACGCCAACGACGGCGTCTGACCGACACCGGCCCCAGCGTAGCTGCATCTCCGAGGCTCGCTTGCGAGCTCGGATTGTCTTCCTCAGAACCAGGGCATTTTTCTTTTTCATTTTTTTACTCATTCATTAATTCATTCAACTATCTGCCCGCGACAAAGGTCATTATTCCCGAAAGTGTAGTATATGTTTTGTCACGAGGACGGATCTGATCTGTATGATTAGATTCGGCACAGACCTACATGTCGACTTAAGGTTTTTTTTTCCAACCAGTTCCTCCCAACTTGGGCGCAGCGCCTCAGCCGGGACGAGCACTAAGCTCAAGAGTGGGCTCCCGACATGTATGATAGTGTAGTTCATTTCAGTTAAGCATAAGGGGTGAGGATAGGATAAGGAAGTGGAACGCAAAATTGCACGCGGTTCTTAACCCGATTGTTCGGCTACTGCTCCGGCATTCGCCTGGCGTTCAGCGGAGTATCCACGGAAAACTACCGATCAGAGCAGCCGGTCACTAGAATACTCCTCCAGCCAGCGGCTGAATTCGACCTAGCTACCTAGCTGGTAGAACATTTTTCATAAAAAGTGCGTGTTTATCATATATATTTAGGTAGGCCTTCTTAAAAAGAACAAAAAATTATACATTTTTAAATTTACAAATTTTAAAATTTATAAATTTAAAAAAATCAGAAAAGTTCTTATTTTGTGGCATGTTCCCTTCACAGAAAATTTTGACTTACTACAATGTAGCAAAATCCTCCAATAGTGACAAAACATTTATGACTCTTTTAGGGAAGAGAAAGGTGTGCGAGGGGATTAAGACATGGGCTTGACATCACAATTTATTCATGTAAGAAGTGTATTGCTAGGAAACGAGGTCATAGTTTTTTAATCAGAATTGCAAGGCGGATGTCGTCATCTGAATTCTGTGCCTCAGAAGAAGCACTGTCAAGGTGACAGTAATTTTCAGATGAGTAATGAGAACAAAGACTGAATAGATGAAGGAATGAGAAGTATAGAATTGCGAGAATCTTTAGCAAATCCGCTTTATTCACCTCAATTTAAATAGATTAAACTCATATTTTTATACAACATTCGGATAGAATTGACGATGAATATTTTAATTGGATTCTCCTTACCACTACTGGACCACATGAACGAAAAATATTTCTAAATATCAGAATCTTAATAATTTAATATTTTAAAATTTTACATTGGATAAAAAATCGTAAGCAAATATTTAAGATTTTAAATTCATATATTTGTCCCAATATTGTTCCCCTCCGATACGAAAATGTAGCAGAGAAAACAATGTTTCCATTCTGTTAGAACAGAATGAAAAACTGAAGAAGATCTTCTGGAACCCTCCAAATATTAAACCGCGATTTGTCTGCATCGGATGAGGAAAAACGGTAGCCAGACAGGTCAACATGATGAGATACTGGATCCATTTTCACACCCCAGCAGGAAAGAAGACTATAACTTTCGGAGTCCCTTGGAAAACGTTTCCGCGTCGTATCTTCTTGTTCACGGGTAATAGGAGCTGTCAGGAAGATGTTTCATCACATCTCCTGCAGATACGATCTCCGACAGAGAAGATTATTCGACAACTATTTTTTTGGTTTTAGTGGCGGGTGTGGTACATCAATATAACATTCTACATTTAGTGACCTGCGTTTGTTTGTGGGCCCTTCCGTTCATCCGGTTATACATCTTCCGGTTCGGACCAGAGAGATGTTCTTCGATGCGACTTGGTCTACTGGTAGGGAACTGACCATTTTGTGAAAACATTTTAGGTGAATTGCCAAAAAAATTGTTTGGGAAAAGTTAAAACTCTACAATACGTTTGGGGGGGGGGCAGAGAGTTACAGATGTAATTAATAGTTCATTTGATTCCATTCCAGAAGACCAATCGATTGGCATTTACTTTTAGCGGGATTCTTTTTGCATATTCTAGAAAACTTTTTTGGGGGGAGGGGGGGAGGTTCAAGTCAGTTTCAGCGGTGACACTGTGAGTGACTAAACTGCATTTACGAAATAATATGAATTGTCTCCACTTAATTCATCAAATGGTTCATTCTTTAATACTTCGACTGATTAATCAAACTTAATTCTATATTAAAACGTAAAAAATAATTTTAAAAGAATTCCTATCGCAATTTTTTCATACAACTTTCTGTGGCCCCATAATAGTGAAGGAAGAGACCGTATTGCTCTGAAAATATAATTTTATCATAAAATTACACTCCACAAATAAAAACTGTTAACATGATAACATGAGGCAACTATTAATCTTTTCATCATAGATAGAAAGAAAATCATCTGCTTAAACAAAAAAAAAAGTCCCAGTTATTTTCGAATGAAGTTCACAGTCAGCATAACAATAGCAGGCCATATGATGCAGGCGATTTGGGAGCTGCTGCGCGCCGGGCGCGAGGAGTCGGGGGGGAGGGGGGTGGGTGGGGGGGGGGTAGAAGAAAGGAAAGCGGCGGCACGTGGGGCGGCAAGCGGGGCCGCGCAGCGCCGCGTATCGAACGGGCGTCCCGCCGTATTGATCGCCATCGCCCCCGCCCTCGTTGTAGGTCAGGGGCCGGCGCCGCCGCCCCTCGCGCACAGTGGGCCAGCATCGCTTTGCGTAAATCTTTCAGGAGACATAATAAAACAAATACATTGTTTTATTGCCATTGTCGTGTTGCTTCTAGAATATCTTTTTCCATGCTTGTTTTACAGGTTGGCGCGAGTTCGACATAAGCTTAAACCAAAGTTTCGCGTAGTGTACTATGTATCTCTTTGACAGAAAAACTTCAGTATGTTCCTTGTGGTTAGGACCCTTTGCTTTGCCCACCCAATAGCTTTGCGATCGGTTAGTATTATATATGCACACCTTATTTTTTTTAACTTTTCGTATTGTTTCAGTATTTTCTATTTTATTTTGATACCAAATCCTCATTTTGAGACGTAAAATAAACAGGCTCCACCTCGTTTTGGATGTTGTAACTCAACCTATAGATAGGTCTGTGCATTCACAAACACCACATGGCGTAATCTGGAAATCTAAAGAACTTAACTGTATAGTTTAAAAACTTAAATAAAATAACATTGTAAGTGAGGGTTTATTTTCTAGAGTTTGCAAAGCAAACACGTAAACATGTAGCGAACAAATGTTGACAACTATTTTAAATTGTATTAAAAACCCATACGTGAAACATGTTAAATGTAAACAAAAAATCAAAACGCTCCTTCTCAGCCACGCTTAACATAAGAACATTTTAAAAATCGGAGAACTCGAAATGGCGAGCACGACAAATCAAGCTACGCAACAAAATCACAATAAAATTGAAAAATATATAATTTATATGAAATTTTTCCCCATTATTTCAAAACTAGCAATTTACTACTGCAATCCAATCAAACCAAATTAAACCGATAACTAATAGCACTCTAGTTTAAGCAATTGTACGGTGCAAAGCGGAATCTGAGTTCTTGTAACCAATGACTGCTTCTAGCATCGCATAGTAGATTCGAAAAGAACTACGCTATAACTAACATATAAACGTAAAAAATGAGTTTCAATATGCTAAAAAGTGAAATATTTCAAAATATCGAATAAAAACACTGACAGCATTATAATAATTCTTACAATCAGTGGATCCCTCAATTTGGAATTTATCCAGGAACATCAAGGTCAAACATTCAAATCCAAAATCTGCCACTTGACCAAAATCAACAAGATTCAACAATATGGTGAATGAAGATATGCCCAAGAATATATTAGCATGTGACGCCGAAAATAGAAAGTCTGTGCTATGTTATCTACTGAAATTCGGCCGCGAAGAAAGCAACTCGGAAGCGGTAGCTCGTTCTGAGAGAGAGGGAGTATCAACCACTCATTTCCTCTCTCCACTCGACTACCCATCAATCAGTTGGAGAGAAGATTGGAGCGTGAGAGAGCGACTGAAGGTATGCTACTGTCACTGCCTACGCGATTAGTGTTCTGCAGGTGTGGTTCCATGTGCATTAACGATCACCAGTCACAAATGCGTGGCGTGATGGCTTAAATCGACGGAAGTGAAGTTAACGCTTTCTGCACAACAGCAAATAAGTTTACGATAGAGCCTCCCGTACATTCCACCGCAGTTTCCATCCAATCTTTTAGTACGTGGAGAGTGGGAAGTTATTTTCAACACGATTCGTGTGGGTTCATGGGAGTGCTGTGATGTGAACGGTATTGTGAATGAAGCTCTTTATCGATTGGAGCCTTGACTTCAACCACTCAGCAATACGTCGCAGACCTATTCGGCAGAAAAATACAAGTATAATTAATAGAATGTTCAAAACGAAACATGGGAGTTATTTGTAAATGATGTTCACAGTTAGCAAAACAACAGCATGTATATAGATTATTTTACCCTGCGGTTTATCCGATTTTATTCTGTGTTCATATTCTGAATTAAATGTTTTTGTAAGTGAACAATGTGCGAAGTTCATAGAATTGGATGACGCGATAAAAAAGTTTACGTTTATGTACATAATTCAGCTGTATTCTTATTAAATAAAAGAGAATGAATCTAAGTTATTGAGGCACTAACAAAATAATTTGAATTAACAAAACATCGTTTAGGAAGAGTTAGGGCAGCAATCGCGTGGCGTTAGCTGTTCTTCGTCCCCACACACTCTCCAATTCCCCCCCCCCCCAAACACGGCAACACGTCGCCACCAGGTCAGCTGGCCTCGTATGTTCGCCTCATTTTGTTTTATATATTTTGCACTTATTACTTACAAAGAGCGATTTTCAAATCTCATAAGTCTTGAAACTAATTAAAGATCCGTTAACTGTCTGGTATAAACTTTATTTTGGTTTTCATTTGGCTGACGAACTTAAAGAAGGGCAGGATGTGCCTTTCTACACGGTCAAAAGCTTCTCTTCGAATTGTTTTTCAGTCAATGCACGACATCATCTTCAATTTCTCCCATTACATGAAAACTAAACAATATTAACACAAACAAAACCTCGGCAAAATCGTACGCGAATCAGGATGCAACACCCTAAAAAACACACACCGTTTCCCTCACAAATATGCATTCCATGGTGTGTTCTAATGGCACCTTTCGCCACGTGCGGCCGGAAATCGTCGAGAAGCCAGAAGTCAGAGACTGCTAATCACCGTGGAACAGAAAACGCATCTCTGCAGTCGGTTGTCACGTGATCAGCGGCGAGTTCTCGATTCCTTACAATCCGTATTAGCAATTCCTTTGCGATCTTCTGGCTGTTTCATGTGTATTTCTCGTCTGATCCTTGACTAATACATTTTAATTACGCGAATTTATTGAAAAATGATCTAATTAATCTCTAACATACTGAAAATTCACAAACATTTGAAATGTACATTTATTCTATTGGTTGGTCAGCGCCTGTCGACGACCGATCGCCTCACCACTGGTTTTTAATATTTGCTTTTATGCGCTCAGCCTTGTTTGTATTTTATCTATGATTTGTTGAGGACAAGTTTTTAAATTTTAATCGCCAATAATTCAAAATATATCCCACTAATAATTAATAGCTTTGCATCACAAAGCTTTTGTTATGTAATTATGTCCTCCAAACTTGTTTGATGTTTTTTACCACCCGTGCGCTTTTGCCCTGTTCAAATGAGAACCCCCTTGCCCTCGGCGTCACGGCCCCAATGAAAATACTATGGACATTCTAGTGATCGAATTTTCGCGTTTATTCGCATTTCAACTCTTCCAATCCTAGGATTTTAAAATAGCAATATTCAATCTGCCCCACTCTAAGCACCAAACACTATGTCATCTGGTTAAATAGCAAAGAAGAACCTAGAAATTCGAGGATTTGTACACGTAGGCTTCCGCGGCTCGAGTCCATTACTTCTAGGCTGTCCGGGTGACGCCGCGTCGTTGGCAGATAGGCCTATCTGCCAACGACGCGGCGTCACCCGGACAGCCTAGAAGTAATTCGAGGATTATTTCACACCTATTTAGTCGTTGCAATTTCTTTCTTTTTTATACTGTATAAATCTATTTTTATTATTCAGTTAGAATGAAATACCTTTGAGTTTTGTTGGAAGGGTTTCGCAGCAAACTCCTGAAAATTATATTATCTATTGCCGAGCTTCAGCACTTATAAAGTGTCAATATTACAGCAGGTTTTCACATTCAACAATTTATATAATATGCTGCAACCTGCTTGCCTTAAAGAATGCAGAAAAGTGTTAAAGAATGCAGGCATTTTATCTGAGATTTTTTATGAAATAAAGGGTAGCTACCCCGAAATTGAAGTATCCTTAATGAAGTCAGATAATATCTCGTTCAGTGTCACGTTATGACGAACCGACAAACAATGTTTCTAACAAAAGTAACAAACTTTCGCATCAAATTCCGAATCGGAAGATAACTATCCGAGTTCCCTTTTAATATTTCGAAGTTGGCCATTACCCATGCCCCTGGGCAAGCGGGGTGTTTTTTTTGTACACAGTAGTGAATTTCTCCTAAAAAAGTATTTGATACGAAGGGTAAAAGTGACATTTTCTTTTGCGAGAAGGAAATGTTACGAGACGAGGCGAGTGACGCAATCATACGAACAAAATAAAACCATTTTTACCATGTGTATCATACACTATTTTTAAACAGCCTTAATGACTTTCATTTTATTTTTATATCAGTATACAAATTTCTCGAGACATTTCGATGTCTGAATTTAGATGAATGAAATATTCGAGAATGTTTTGGACTACTCTATTCGGGTACGAGACTATTTAGAATGCATCTCACTTTCACACGAAATCATGTCCGTTCCCACGGAGAACTCGGGTCTACAAAAACGAGAAGCGCCGCGGCATTTCGCTGGCGCAGCGTTTTGACGACGTCTGCCAACTGGCAAACACCCACCTCCGCCCCACAAGGCACAGCGGGCGACCGCAGCTCGTGGGAAAACAGGCGCGTAACGAAGAGATGGAACCGGTAGATAGTTGTCACATTACGTAGCTAATCGATCATTGGATTTCAAAACTAACAATTATATTATTCAATTTTCACCTGTTGGTAATGTGTTGTTAGGTTTGTGCACATGATGCTAGTTGATGCCATCGCCATTTTTTTCTTAGTCGATAGTGGAATAAGAAAAAATATTGACTTTCGTGACAAAGATTAATGATAGGTAAGACAAAGAATGATTCGATATCGTTTAAAAAAGTTTACAACAATTGAAAAAACTTGACTTACGTATTTAATAAGTTTCACTTATTTAACTATTGATACAAAGTTCATAATGTTCAAACGCTTAAAGTTTGTTCTTGTTTGAAAATATTTTACTGAAATTCACCAAAGAACGTTAGTAATTTAAGACAAAATTGTCATTGTTTTGTAGTGTCATGAAGAACAGAGATAGTGTATTTAATCATAACAAATTAAATATAATATTTTATCAATATTCAGCAACTGGTATTCAATATTTTTAACGAAAGTACTGAAACTTCGTTAAAACTAGTTATATGTCTTTACTTCTCGCGAAAAGTGTTTTTTAAATTCTTATTTAATAAAATAATTTTGAATTCGATTTTATTAAATCATACTAATTCATCATTAAATTAGTCCTTAAATTTTCATTTAACTGAAGAAATAACGTTTGGATTTATACTTCACAACCGCCAGTTCACGGTTTGCATGGAAATGAAATATATTTAACCTCTTTCTGCGAACGAGCACGGAATCAGTACGCATACTTCACCCATATTATCTTTGATTTGCGTAATAGCGCTTTTGCCGATAATCAAGCCCGGTAGTTTGGTACTGGATGAGGTACGCTGTGTGACCACGAGTCAGCTATAAATTTACAGCGGTGATGTGGTCACCTGTATTACCCGGCATCCTACAGTAATTTCGTCAACTCGTGCGCGACCGACGCTTTCATATGAATTAGAATTGTGGGCGGTGGCTTTGCGCGATTTGCAGGCACTTGTTCAATTCGGTGGCCGCGCCGAACCTTTTGCATGGCGAAGCCACCTTTCACGCTGATGGCTGTGTCTGGATCGCTCCCTGCAGTTCGCGTTATTACCCAGGTGTTTGGGAAGTGATGGTCAGGCTTTGGGGCAGCGTCGTGGCTATTACAACATCACGCAGTGGCCACAATCACAGTTTTCGACAAGCGTCACCCGGAAGGCTAAAAGGAAATCCTTCACATTGTGGTTGTTGTAACAACGCGTCAGCAAAGAATTAAGATTTTCTTATTAATGATACATGATATGAAATTATACTTTCTGCGAACTAATTAGAACTTCTAAACATTTTATTACTGATTATTTTTACACAAGCGCGGAGCCTATTGAGAGCAAAGATGTGAACCTACGAGACCAAATAATGTATTTCAGTTGGATATAAAAGACAAAAATGAAAACCGTTTTAATTATTCTCTCAATTATTAAAGTCTTCATTAGTTTTCTCAGAAATACAAACATGTTATTATTTGAAATAAGGAATTAATATGATTATTATTAATTTTCTTCGAAAGTATGGAAATTGAACATAATTCATTTTTGCCGTTTCCGCGCATTCATTAGAAGCGACGAAATATTGAACTTTCCGAAGACCGGAATTTTCGTAAGTTGGAAAGATGTGGTGGTTATGTATAACGCAAAGAGAAAGGGAGTGTGCAAATGCTTTAAATCTTTTGTTCCCTACTGCTCAAAAATCAGAACACTACAGCACAACGCCATGTGCATGTGCATGGAAGCATGTTGACAAGGCGTAGAAAAGTGTCACTAAATATGAGGTTTGGGAAAACGTATTTGCGAAGATAATTCTACTACCAATATTCAGACGAAAAGATGCCACACTATCTACTTTTTGCAAAAAATCTAAAATATGTAAAAATTAAACGAGCGGAATCACTATTTCTTTTTTTTATTTTAGAAAATAGAATATTAAAAGAGACTGTTCATTTATCAGCAGACTTGCCAAAATTATATTTACTCGATGCACAACAAAAATAAAGTGAAGTAATGTCACTCTAGAGAAAACTTGCGGATGTGATAGAATTTATGTGGGCGACACTGACATATAGATTTCCATCTTATGCAGGTCCATTGCTCACGTAAGTTGTTGCCATGAAATGAGAGCAAGAGCGAGAGAGCAAGAGAGAGAGAGAAAGAGCGCACCCGCGAGAGCACTTGTGCATCTCCCAGCTGCCATTCGGCAACGGCCACCCTCCTTCCCTCCCCTTTCATACGGGAGCCATAAAAAACAACGACGATCACTTGCTGCGACGTACTACATTGAGCTTACAAGAGTGATCTCGTTTCTGTGTGATGATCCACGCGTAAAATGTCGCACAAATGGATGGATTTGATGGATGCATCGGGGAAGATACTCAGAGTTATAAAATACTATATCGTTTGATCGTACGTCATGTTTTATGTTTGGGAATATTTGGGATGTCAGTGAGGCGAGACAATTTTGTGATGAAATTAATTCTTACTGAAGAACACGCCTAGTGATGACAAAATACGTGAATATCCATAAAAAATACTAAAAGTTGATATTTACAAAAGTGGTCATTGGCACCCTGCCATAATTTTAACTACACTCTTTACTACAAATTATTTATTTTTTTCTAATGATCAATTCTTAGAGCTTTAGTGAACTTGAAAATAATTGTCTTAATTATTAACTGTTTTAATTAACATTATACTAGCACAGAAGCTCATCGTCACAATTTTATTTAAAACAAAAACGTTCAAAACATGAAATACGACAGGCATTCAAGATTCTTCTTTGATGACTCTTGTATTCAATGAATATAATGTTGTAACAACAGATGACCCGATTTTAACGATATACACGATATTGAAATAATGTATTTTTTCAAATTACATTTTTTCAATTTTTTCCAACATTCTTTTATAATTACAATATAAAATATTATATTTTAATGAAATGCATTCTCCAAAAGTAGATCTTTAAATCATACCAAGTAAGCATTTTTTTTAAAAAAAAGTTATCAAGTCATTTTTAGTGAACTGGAGACAATTTTTCACAAATACATGAACAAGGCTCCAAATGTTTCGTTACAACGTTTTCGCAAGGATATTGTAGGGATACACAGAATTAAACAGAAAATGTGCATTTTTCATTAAAACGTTTAATTTTCAAACATTAAAGGAAAATATTGTTTTTCAAATATCCCGCCCTTCATTTGATGAAATTTTTCAAGGGACAACTAAAAAATTGGAAGCTGCAATATTGCATAACAGATACATATAATACGAGAACATATTTGCTTTGAAGCACCAAAAATTTACAAGTGTTTCCGAAGTAGACGTTTTGGAAGTAAAAAAACACAATTTCTAGTACCATCATTAGAAGTAGAGCATGACACTTATGCTTAACATCATTGGCTCAGTGCTACTGCTGCGAATTGTATAAGAACCGTTATTCCGACCGGAAGTGAAAAATAGAGTAAGATTTGAAAGCTATTACCTATTCACCCTAGGTGAATTAACTGTCATGAAAAAGGATTATCAAGTCTGAAGTCTTTTGTAAATAAATATTGAATTTCCACCATTCATTTGTGAGAATTTACGATATTTATTGAATTATGTCATCTTCACTCATGTTCGATTGATCTTTCTCGGCAATTCTTCATAAAAGATGGAAGATATGTTTCTCCCTATATAACAGAACTCTCTATTCTCTCGTATAACAGAACCTGGAGACAGTAATTTACGATCCTTCAAGTAATGTTAGTTTATTTTTTATTGGTATGGACTCTCGGCAAGGAACAGAAAAGCGATGCTGTTTTGGAAAACTTAGCACAGTTAGTTATCTCATTACGAAAGGAATTGTAATGAAAGTTCCTTGCTGGTCGTCCCTATGTTAAATTAAGTGTTTATACTTAATTAACAGAAAATGCGTGCTCAAGAGAGACAAAAAGATTCCTTTAAACTGATTTCCAGCTATGGTGGCGTTGAATACAAGAGAGAGTTTTCAACGCCATCCCGAGTTTGTTTGTTTTTTGACTTTTCACTAGGCGACTTCTATTTTTTTATTTCCTGAGGGACAAACAGTTTTTAATTTCGTATTGGATCAGATAATGAAATAGGTGTGACAAAAGCATTCGTGTGAAATTGGTCGGATTATTAAGAGTGTTCTTGACTCGAAAACCTATTTGGATTTGTAGGATATATTACCCGCGGGTACAATTGGGAATATCCGCGAATTTTCAGGAGTGCAAATGAAAGTTATACGCCGGTTCGAATCTGTTTACAGATTTTATAACTTGCCAGTCAGTATCAAGTCAAATTCAAAGTGCTTTCATCGGATCGAATCAGTTTACAGATTTTATAACTTGCCAGTCAGCATCAAGTCAAATTCAAAGTGCTTTCATAGTTTGTGCTGACTCATGTATATTTAAACACCCAGATTTTAATCTTTACATTTTAAGATATAATAAATAAATAATAATTATGAATTTTCGGGTTATACCACTCGAATTGTTTCTCATCTTCTATATAAAATGCGAGGGAAAAGGCCTAGGAGACTCCGATATCCCTGAACCCCATAAGGTCAGGTGTCCCTCCGCCTTCTTCTTCGAGTTGACAAGTTACTTCAGCCCCACTCTGGGCTGTGTCCGCGCGAATGCAGAGTGTTCGAGAGGCTGCAGGGGAGCGCGCCCTCTCGGCTTTCTTACGCCGTGTCCCCACCACTCGCCACTTCGGCGGGCGGTCGAGCGGGCGGTCACGCGTGCAACCGCGCCACCGCCACCGCCACCGCGCGGGCGGCCAGGGAGGTCGAGGGGAAGAACGCGTGGCGCGCGTCCAAAAGAAGGCCTTCTCTAGTGGTAGCAGCGGAGCGAGGCGGGTCGGGGAGGCGGTGAGTTAGGGTACGGATCGGGGTAGGGGCAGAGAGAAGGTGGATGTGCGGAGTGGCGCGGAGCGGGTAGGGAAAGCGCGGGGCGGGGCGGCGCGGGGCGGCGCATGGGGCGGGGCGGGCGCGGCGGCGGGCGCCCGGGCGGGCGGGTGGCGCGGGGCCCGGGGCGGGGCGCGAGGGGCGGCGCGGGCGCGGCGGGGGCGGGCGGGGCGCGGGGCGCGGGGCGGCGCGGGGCGAGTAAGGGAGCAGAGTATGCGCTGCTGAAGTGCGGTGCTACGCAAAGGATTTAGGTGTTGGTAGAAGTAGCTGTTTGTAAGAGAAAGGCGTACAGAATGGAGTGTAGTGGCTAGTGCGACAGCAGTGAAACAAGTGTAATTGGTGGTATTCATGGTGCTGTAACAATGAAGGCGATGGTGTTGGTAAGTGATGGCTGTGCTGTATATAAAATATACTGTCACAGATGTGACTGTATTTCTTGTAGTCGTGCTAAGGTGATGACAGGAACAGTGGTAATTAAAATGACGGAAGTAATAAAATGTAGGATACAGGAGCAATGGTGGTGTTACGTTGATGTAGATGCAGAGCAGCACGGATGGCACTCTGTACTAGCGAACAAAAATTTAAAAAAAATATAAACAATCATCTAAAAAAATCAATAAAAATATATATTTAATTAGCAATCCTATCTTCGTATTATCAATAAATTGGTTAAAAAGGTGATTGTAGAGTACTCGTGGAATATGGTGGTGAAGTGATGGTGGTAGTGATAATAGTGGTGGTGGGCAGAGAAGAGTAATGTTGTGGTCACCACCACCACATTACTTTTGTACGTTAACAGTGGCGGTGCTGGTAGAAGTGATGATGGCGGTAGTGGTGGTGATAGTGTTACAGATGGTGATGGTGGGGGGAGCAGTGTAGTGTTGTACTCTGTACGTGTCTGTGATTACTCTTGTACGTTAGCGTTGGCAGCGCTGGTAGTAGTGGTTGAATCGGTTCAAGCAGAGGCGGCGTCGGAGGCACTCGCGGAGTGGACGGCGGCTGGCGGCGAAGAGCGGGACCGCAGGGCGCAGCCGGCGCCCGCGGAAGCGCCGTGGGCGGTTCCACAGGTAGCGTGTTCCAGCTCAATGCCTCCGACCTGCGCGGAGGTCGGAGAGCGCACTACGTATGAGAAATCGATTCGCCTCCGCGGAGCCATTCCTCTCGCACCAACAGCAGCTCCATTCATGAACGCGCATCCACCTGTAGTACGCGAATGTCGCGCAGGTGCTTAATGTCTGCAAACGCAGATCGTAATTAGCCCATGATTTTGACCACGACGCCGGTGTAGTTGTTCCAAATACATTAAGACAGTGAAGACCATTATGACTGTGAAGTCAGACACTGATTATAGCAATGTAATATCGTAATTGATTAATCACAAATTTATCCTCATTACGTGGTTCTGGATGTATTACTGATTAGCAGTCTTAGAAATTATAAGTGTCGCTCTGAATGTTCAAAATATAAAATAACCCAATAAGCCATAAAAACACTAGCACTAATTGATAGGACTAATAGCATACTGTACGTCAATATAGGTTAATAGCTTTGGTACTTTTTCATTCTGTGATGAAATATAAAGTTGTTGCAGTGATGAATACTTCGAAACAGAAACAAGCTCCATACGTTTCCGTTAAATTTCCACAGAATGTCCTGCCATACAGTTTTCAGCACCAAATTCGTGCCTTAAGGAGTACTTGTGAATCAGTTTACGCATTTACATTTTAACGGCATGTTACCGAAAACGAAAATATAAGAAACTCACATAGTTTTAAAATTCACATACTGAAAATTCATATTCATTGCTCTAATTCATAGACAGAGCATGGTCTTTCTACAAAATGAAATAATATTATATAGTACCACAAATGTTTTGTCGTAAATACGACCGAAAGAAGCGCAAAAAATGATTACATATTTTACAGTATTTAATTAGATAGTACGTGAGATGATTTATTGACAATTTAATTAGAAAACGAATAAATCGCTTAGGAGGGGTATTTTTAAAATTTCAAATATAATATACGACGTTCCGTATCGGAAGCAAAAGTGACGTGCATGGAACAATTCGAATAATCAATTTTTCAAAAACCTCGATACTCTTTTTCCAAAGACACCAATAGAAACTAACTTCAATATGTGTTTCATATTCTACTGTTCCTGTCTTTCTCGCTGAAACTCACTATTCATTTACGATGTTCTTCAATGTAAATACAAGTTTTCAGGCTTTGTACGAAAAAATGCTAACAACCGTTTATATGTAATATCAATAATTTAAATATAAATGAATGACTATCAAGATTATTCACTAGAAACTTGACGAAAATTAATGTCGACGTAAGCGTTGGTAAAGAAGAAATTGACCTCGCAAGCAACGAGAATGATGCGTTTTGCTATGAGTACATAAGTGGCCTGCACACAAAAATACGAAATTGTGTATGTGTGTATAGTGAGAGCATAAAGGTGAAGAATATGTTTCACGCCTCGGTGGCTGTAGAGGAGACGAAAGGTGTTAACCTTTCAAGAGAATCTCAATGCATCGGAAATGTAGTAATTCTGTGACGCCTGAAAGAAGAGAAGGTATTTTGTCAATTATGATCTAGCGTTGAGAGGACATACGAAAAATATTTACTTTCTGCCTAGAGGAGCCATCTTGTTTGACACTACAACGTATATCTATGGTGGCGCACGCAACGAGGTCAAAAGCGATGACATGATGTAAGAGATGGCGCCCATTACGAAGACCGACAGGTGTGAAACCTCAGTACTGAGAAAATGTCGACTAAATAGGCCAAGTAATGAAATTCGGATAGGACTGGGAAAGAGTGAGACAAAAAACCTACAGCAGGACACGGTGGCGAATCTGGACCTTGAAAAGTAAATGGAATGATCGTAGGGAATATTACTGTTAATGTGATGATGATATTGATAAAGACAATGAAAAACAAGAGAGAAAAAACAACTGAAAAGGTGAAATGATGGCGAATATAGCACTGAAATGTGAGCCCTACGCAGCAAGGAAAGAGACTGTGCGCCCACAACGTAGACAGCGATAGTGCTGGAGGTATCAGACAGGTCACAATTAAACGACGCGCTCCACCGGAACCAAATGGCAAATTAGGGAACCGTCTCTAAAACGCAGCTGCGTACGCGACTCGATCACATGATAAGAAATATTCCCAAGTCCTTAGTAGCACCAGGTGTGCGGCACCTTTTGTAAAAACGCAGCGCATGCGACAGATTCTCTCTTCAAATCCGCCGCCTCCGGAGCGCAGCCGGGGCGTTTCAAGAGGCTGCGACTGCGGGGGCGGCGCCAAGCGCACAAAGGCGAGGGGGAGTTGCAGGGCGCAGGTGGGGGGGGGGCGAAGGC